GAGTTGGCTGTTAAACACTCAGAACCATCTAAATTTAATTTCTTCTTTCCATTTTAGAAGGAATAGATCTCTATCTCATTAGGATGGCATGGGCACCACTATTGTAGACTGGAGCTCTGGTGCCTTGATGATAAGGAACTGTGCTGTTAATCCAAGGTTGTTTTGGTGGTGTTGTTGTTGTTGTTGTTGTTAAATCCCATCGAGTTGTAGGCCACTCATAGCGACCCTATGAATGAAATACCTGAACACTTATATAACTTTCTTCATTTCTCCAAGTTCATAGGGTTTCCAAAGGCAAGCTATTTCGGAAGTGGATGCCACTTCTGCTTCCAAGCTTGTTTTAATCAGGGAGCTCCACCAAATGCTGTCCACCATGGGTGACCAGTCTCGCATGTGGCACATCAGGGTCACAGTATTTACATCACAGCAACCACGAGTTACCTCTGGACAGCAAATCGACAGACCAGTGCTATACCACCTAGAAAAATGTTTGACCAAAAATAATTAAAATAAGGCCTGAGGGCCGCAGATTAAAATCACCCACCTTTGACTTGGTTGCATCCCTTTCTGTCCATTAGACCAACTGAGCTCTCTCTATGTTGTTGTTGTTAAATGCCATCAAGTTGTAAGCGACTCATAGTGACCCTGTGAACAAAAGACCTGAACTCTTATATATCTTTCTTCATTTCTTCAAGTTCATAAGGTACGAAGTTCAAATCCACCAGCTGCTCTATGGGAGAAAGATGAGCTGTGTGGTTTACCGCCTCTGATAAACACACCATTCTTGACTGAAGTTTATTCTGCTCAGCAATTTAATCCATTTGCTGCTCTTCATTGACAAGCAGATGGGCCGTCTCTTCACATAAGGATGTGTGACCTCAGAAAGCAGGGTCGCTATGAATGGAATGGACTAGAAAACCCCATGATTTATTCTTGGCTAAGGAGCCCTGGTGTCACAGTGAATTAAGTAACGGGCTGCTAACCCGTTGGCTGGTGGTTCGAATTCAGCCACAGAGGAGGAGAGACGCACAAGTCACATCTAAGAACAACCTACCGTCTTGGAAACCTCGCGGAGCTATTTCGTCTTGGAAACCTCGCCGAGCTATTCTTTCCTGTAGGATCACAGTGAGTCAGAATTCAATTGATAGCCGTGGATTATGGTTATTCTTGACTTGTTGGAGGTTTTAAGTCAAAAGCTTGTTTGTGTGACTATAGGCAATTCTATCTTGTGTCCATGTTTCCAATAAGTAACAGTTCAGAAAGCAGAATCAGAACAGTCTGAAAGCATCTGCTCACCAACTCCTTTTATAAGAGAGGGACTCCCCCTCCCACAGCACTTCCCACCTCAGTTCTGGCTCTCCCAGGGTCTCCGACACAGAATTCCCTGATCCCAGAGACTGAGCAGAGATGTTCTGTCTTGTGTTCAATGCCCCAACCACCTGACCCAGAGGCAGCAACAATTTTTTTGCTGTTACAACTACAATTAACTGATTCATTTGCTTACTTCTTTACCACACTGTGGTTTCATTTGTCACCACTGTGTCCCCAGAGTCCAGTCCTCGGCGGAGAATACTACATACTCATTGAATGCTTGTTAATTGACCAGTGCGTCCTTGTGTCCCCTGGCCAATAGCTCGTATCTGTCAGTCCCTAAGCATTATATCCCCTCCACTGCTGCCCAAAACCTTGTCCAGGCTTCAGCAGCTTTGGGAGAATGGAGAGATTTCAACAAATTCTTCCTAGATAAGGGGTTTTTTTTAGATGATAGAAATGCTGGCTGTTTAGATTAGATTAGAATTCAGCACAACTTTGCCCAGTCTTCCTTCTGAAAACAGGGAAGTGATTTCATTAATAGAAGCTCTAAACATTCTGGCAGCTGACCCTAGAGATAAGGATGTGGCAAACACATGGGTTGTGTTTTCTTGTCATGTCTGTCACTGACCTGCTCTCAAACTCAACCCATCACCATGGAATCAACTCTAACTTATAGCAACTCTATAGGACTGAGTGGTAGGAACTACCCATGATTTTTGACTATTTAGTAACTAATTAAATAACCCAGAAGAGTCTTGAACATTCCATGGACCGCCAAGAAACAAACAGTTCTGACCTAGAGAGGGTGAAACCAAATTTCTCCTTGGAGGCTAGGATCTTGAAGCTTTGTCTCACATACTTTGGGCACATGGCCAGGAGGGACCAATCTTTGGAAAAGGACGTCATGCTCAGAAAGGTGGAGGGACAGCACAGGAGAGGAAGACCTGGGATGAGATGGATTGACACAGTAACTAGGGCAGTGGGGTTTGGTGTGTCAGAGTCAGTGAGACTGGCTCAGGACAGAGTGGGCTTCAGAGCTGCTACACACAGGTTGCTATGGGTTGTGGGCAACTCGATGGCACATAACAACAACAATAGGATTCCCACCAGAGTGGCCCTTACTAGAACTGCCCCGTAGCATTAAAGCTGTAATCTTTATAACCTGACTTGACAGTCTACAACATCATCACCACCACTACTATCTTTATGAAGGGAGTCCTGGTGGCCTAGCGTGTTAAGAAGCTGTGCTGCAATCCTAAAGGCATGTGGTTCAAATTCACCAGCTGCTCTGAGGAAGAGGGATGAACACTCTTCTCCTCTGGGATAAACTACCTCTGATTACCCGCTGGAGGGTCAGCTATGGGTCAGGTCCGACTCGACAATACACAGCAACAACAATCTTTATGAAGGGCACTCTCGTATCCTAGGCGTTGCGCTGCCAACCCAAAGGCAGATGGTTCGAATTCACCAGTTGCTCTGAGGGAGATGAGCAATCTCCTCCAGAGCTATTTTACAGCCTCTGAAAACCTCCTGGTGCGTGAGCTATGAGGCAGCTCCGACCCCGACAACAATTCATGAGTTCAGCTGAATGGAATCTTTATGGAAGTCACTGCCACCTCCTGGTCCCACGGTGCAGCTGGTGGGTTGGGGCCTTTTAGTAGCCAGTTATTTAAACACTGTGATCTAGAGCGACAGGAAAAAGCAAAGAAACTAACATGATCCAGACAATTTGGACAATAAAGGAAAAAGACAAGAGAGACAACGTACATGTTCTAACGAATGAAGAAAATCACAAAGAAAAACATCAGAGGATCCTTCTTACACCGCGCACGCGCACACACACGTTGTAGCGTTCTGGCTGACGAGCATTTACTGACACACATCTAACTAAACGATTGTTGAAACAAAGTTATAAGAGGCATCAGAGACCTGCTGTTAAGAGGTATCTTGCCGTCTAAGGACAACATTGAATGAAGGTGGGGCGTGGGGTTTTTTGTTTGTTTGTTTTTTGGGTTTTTTTCCAGAAGACAGACAAGACTGGATGAAATTGGGTCACACGCACACGCAGCAAAGAGTTAGTATCCAGCAAGGGCCAAAGATGGTGCTTCCAAGTGGGATTCGAACCACTTCCGTCTTAAAGTTGTGTGGCTGCTCTGAGGAAGGAGAGTTGTAGCCATCCCACCAAAAAGCTGTGCAAACACCACCCCCTTATCCCCTCACTCCTGAAACCCCCCCTTCCGGTGAGGAAGAGCCCTAGAAAAGCTCCTAGCATCTGCCCATCAGAGAGATAGCGTGCATTCCTTCCAGGCCCCGCCTGCTCTCTTCCTGCCGGACTTTCTTTTTTCTCTAGCAAATATATACTTTCCTTATTCACTAACTGGGAGCTTTTGGTGGCCGGGTGGTAAGAAGCTGCGCTGCAATCCTGAAGGCACGGTTGGAATCCACCAGCTGCTCCAGGAAAGGATTAGCAATCTCCTCCCAAACGATTAACTGCCTCTGAAAACCCCTTGAAGGGTCTACAGTGGGTCGGTCCGGACTCTACGCACACAACATCCACATTCACTAGAAAAATCTCTCCTGTTGCAAAGTGTTATGACTTTCTAGTCATTATTTAGACCTGGAACACTTTAAAGGAAACACCTTCCACGGATATTGCAGGGAATGGGGTTTGGAGAGGGGGACGAGAGGGGGTTTGAGGCACAGGAGAAGCACTCTGGAGGCTGGGAGCCCGACATAAAATCATTGACAAGGCCGAAAAGGCATCTCTGACGGATGAGATGTGCTTCTAGAACTTTTTCCTGGCTCAGGCCTGGCTACAAGACACAGTAAGCGCCCCAAGCTTGCGCACCTGGGGGCCCCTCCCACTTCCTTCCTGCCCGGAATTTACACCCCCACTAAGTCTAGACAACCCCCCAAGGGACCCCCTCCTGACACTGATTTTGTCCCACTCACTGCCAGTCTGTAGGTCCCCTCTCTGACCCCCAGGGTCCTAACTCCCCGCGGGTGTGGGGCACACCTGGTCCTGCCAACCTCAGCATCCACAGGCTGAACCCGGCTCGGCACATCTTCCTGAGGGGGAAAGGGGGGAAGACTGGAGAGTTAGAAAGAAAATGACACATAATGAACCCAGCCAATAATATAGCAAATGCCTATAAACACCCAAACTTGGCTTTTAGGTTTTCCTTCGTTATTACTTTCCACCACCTGCCCAACCTGGAATCAACTTAGCTGAGTCATAACTTTCTCTTTTTACGAGTGTACTGCTTTTAACCCCTAATTAGTGGTGGAGACCCAGGGACTAGGTAACCCGTCCTACAAGACTCCGCCTTTTCCATTATCTTGCATTGTTTCCATCTGGGAGACGCCTGTCCCCCACCCCACCAGAGGCCGGGGAGGCCGGACACTGGGATGGGCGGGCCCTAGGAGGGGGCCCCTTGGCTCAAGGTCAAAGAATTGTCCTTGGTGATGAGAGCTAGGTGATGGACGACGGGGCCTCCTGGGACCCCTGACCTCTGGTGAGGCCGTGTTTTTTGATCGAGGTATTTTCTGTTTTACATTCGCCTTTTTTCACTTCAGGAACTGAATGTCTGTCTGCCTCGGGGGAGTTTTGGCAATAACTGAGTCAACGTAAAAGCCACGCTAACCTTTTTCTCCCTAAATTGCTGAGACCTGTGGACTTCCGCAAGATGGAGCGCCTCTCCACCAGGTAGGACTGGGTCTGCACTGCTGACGGCCAGAGACTGTCAGCTTAGGAGGAGAGCATCTTCTCTGGCTCTCTGATCTCTTCGTGCTCAAACCCTTAACAGCACTGCTGGTTTTTTTCTGAAAGACCTACAACTTCACTTAGTTACATCCAGCTTTGCTGTTCGCTTGTAACATCAGGCTAATTTTAGGTTTTTGTAATGGTTGTTGATTTCTCAATCTTGTGTGTGAAAGACCCCAGTGTTGTTGTTGCTGTTTGGTGGTAGGAAGCTGACTACAACTCATAACTGTTCCGTAAAGAATTGACCAAAATTTTGCCCTGTCCTTCAGCCATCGTCATCCTCCCTGCTTCACTCAAACCAACTGTGGCCCTCACTGGATCAATCCATTTATACCCCAATTCAAAGTATGTTTTTGTCTGGAAAAAAAGGTTCAATAAAGCCGTAGACAGATTCAGTCTCTCCAACACCATTAACTAGAACAGCAGAAAGAAAGAAACCTTTTAAAAAGACTGATTTAAATGAGAGAACGATAGTCCTTGTAAAATGAGATCCTCAAAACACGCAGCCGTTTTTAAACTCTTCTATGAAAACTGTTCGGAAGGGGAAAAAAATCGATGTTTAGGGAACTAGAGGATAACGGATATATGGATTTATACCTCCTAGAAATTATGTCCATATGCAGACGAGCCTAAAAAAAAGAATAATGCATTGAAAAGAGTTAGCAATTAGATGATTGTTTTTCTTGATGTTGTTACGTGGATTGGTCCACTGTTTAAAAAGAATGGAAAAGGGGAAAGAAAGCAGTGATCTTCGCGGTGGTCTGTGTGGTCGTGGGATGTTGACAGAGGAGAGTCAGACTTGCTAACAGATGCCTGATTTCCTCCTAGGATGATCTTCATTGTGGCCTTTCAACTGGGGTTGGTTGCTGGTGAGTCATTTTCTTTCTTTTTTTCAATTGTGCTTTTGGTGAAAGTTTACAGAAAGACGGGGTGTTTGTTCATTCGTCGGTGCACGTTTTTCTCCCTCTCCCAGCTCACTTTGAAAGCACCTCTTGTTCCATGTTGTTCTCCGTCCCTTACAGGCTTTCTCCACTCCTTTCCGATAACCCCTCCCTTCACCTCTTTCACTGCAGTATTCATTAGCTAGCCGTTCTTGTCCTTTTCGTTCTTTTTACCATTTTTTTCCCCTTTTTTCTCTAACCCCCCCCCATTTTCCTCTTTTGATCCCTGAATGTTTGCATTAGCCCGAAGCACAGATTGCATGAGTTGGGTTTTTGTCTTTCAGGGTCCGGCCCCCATGAGTTTGGACGGCTGTCTCGGGGAGCCACCAACCTTCGGGCCCAGAAGGAGCCTGCGAATCCGCTAAAGCCTTTCCCTCTCGTGACGTCCGTGGGCATCCAGGACAGTAAGACCCTCCCCGCCTTAGCACTTCCTTCTTTTCATCCCCAAGTCCCTTTTGGATCGCTTGTCCTAAAGCAAACGCAGGTGAGCCGAGTGCTTGGGTGATGAGCCCTGCATTGTGCAAGGTAACCCCTGGGGAACTCACTCAGCTCTGCCAACCTGACTCTACTTGTGTGCTGGGAGCTCCAGATACACCACTGGCCTGCGCATGGAAGAGTCCTCTCCTACAAAGCTGTTAGTGGCAATACTCAAAACTCAAATTTTATAAAAATCCATCACACACACAAAAAATCCCTCATGGCCGCCCCTCCAGCTGATTTTTGCGGAGGAGGAGATTGGATTTGAACCACCAGAGTGAGAAAGACCAACCACCTTTGAGTAAGCCGCACAACTCCCTACTGACTTGGCCACGAGAGCTCTTCCCGAGTGGTGGTTAAATTCTTATGCTCCTTGTGAACTCCTGAAGCGGCTTCTGGTTTTTCTGTCTTCCAGCCTCCAATGCACTTCCTCTCTCATTTTAGGTAAAAAGCTAAACAAGACCTGCTGCCTGAATGGGGGGACCTGCATGCTGGGCACCTTCTGTGCCTGCCCTCCCCACTTCTCAGGACGCAACTGTGAGCAGGATGTTCGCAGATGGTAAACGTCCAACGGGGAGGCGAGGGAGCTGGGGGTGAGATGCTGGAGAGAAGAGAAGAGAAGTGGTCTCGTCTGTGTGTTTGCAGGAACTGTGGGTCTGTGTCTCACGGCGCCTGGATGTTCAAGAAGTGTTCCATGTGTCGATGCTGGGAGGGCCAGTTGCACTGCTTGCTTCTGCCTGAATGTGGTAAGCAGTGCCTCTCACCCTTTGGGACTGTTTAGCTGCCCCCCTGGCCTTGGTCATGGTTAGCTGCCCTCTGGACTTGGTCATGGTTATGTAGAGGCTCGGGGCAGAAGATGCCAAATTCTGCTTGTGAAAGGATGGACAATTCCAATGGCAGCCCTGCTGATTGAGTCTCTGGGGGGAGAGGAAATGTAGCTTGTGATGCTGCCTTTGGAATAGAGAGCTGTCCTCTGGCCACTTGACATCCTTTCAGAGTCTCTGAGGAGTCCCCTTGGGAGCTTTACGTGCTTAGCTACCAACAAAAAAGGTCAGCAATTCGATTCCATCTAGAGGCACCTCAGAGGACAGGCCTGGACGGAGTTCAGCTTCTGATAAGTGCACGTTGAGTACACTGTGGAGTACAATTCTAATCTGGGGTGCACTGGGTCATCACGAGTCAGTGTTTGCTCGATGCAGCTGGGAGCTGGGCCTCGGTCGACTGTCGGGAACAGTTGCTGCCAAGCCCATCCTAACTCACGGCACCCCGTGTGCTTCCGAGTAGAATTGCTCCGAGAGATTTCCTTGGCTGACATCTTCATAAACGTACAGACCTTTCTTCTGGTCACCACTGGGTACACTTGGGATAAATTACCGAGTGTAACTTATCCAGAGAAAAAAGAGCCAGTTACAGTAGGCTGAATTTACATGGGTTGAAAGTCTTCTACTGGGGGGTGGGGTGGAGTCTGAATTCCCTAGCATTCATTCTGTGGGTTCCATAAGCTCATCCAATGTTGTGTGTCAGTATATTGAGCCCATGTAGCTGGATATGCCGCATGTCTTCGACATCAAGATAATGACCAAGTGTCCTCACCTTGTAGGTTCCCTTGTTATAAACGAGCATCTTGAAGCTTCCAGGACTCCAGAGTTAGCGCCGTCATCATACACCACCCTGGTGCTGGTTGGCATCTGCCTTTCTCTGCTATTCTATTAATCGACATATGCCTTATTCTGGAGTGACAAGTTTAAGGTCATGGAAATTTCGTGTTTGGTAAAGGCTGGCTGCTGCTCTGATGCTGTGACAGAAGGTGACCATTTGTGAGATGCCTTGAAATAGTGAACACATTTTAATGTTCGTTCCTAATATTTCCTTAATGTGTCCACTACTGCTTTCTTCATTTTGCCCTCCTTCCCTAAAAATATTTTTTTAAAACTAAACAAAACAACTCAACTCTATCTACTTTGTGTCTGGTCCCAATTTTTGTTTCATCTAGCTCTAAATAAAGGAGTTAGTATTAATATTTTCCTTTGCATATGAATTCTATCAGATTGTGAAAAGCTAATCTTAGTGTGTTGAGGATGACATTTTTTATTAGAGCCGTTCAAAATCAATGAAGTGTGTTTTGTAAAGGAAATAACAAAGATCTTGATGGCAGGGAGATGACAGGATTTTTAGAGTGATGGAACTATGTGTGGGGCCAGGGGGGCTAGACAACAGAAAGCAGATGGGAGAGAAAAAGCAGGAAAAAGAAACTAGATTGTTTTATCGGTGATGACATAGACACAGAGAAGCAGGCTAAAGGCTAAATTTGAAGGGCAGGTTTCCTTCCATAGAAGGCAAGGTTTGGTGGAATACAAAGGGTGTTACCCTGCCAACTAAAAGGCTTTGTGTCTCCAGCGGTTCAAGGCCACACATTGCTCCTTGGGAGAAAGATGGGCAGTCATCTCCTGTTTATAAGTTACCATCAGCCTGGAAAATCTAATGACAAGTTATGAGATAAAATCAGCTTCTCAGCAGTACATACAAGACTTGGTTTCAACAGTTACAATGAGAAGAAAGTCTTATATTTTCATTGGCAGGAGTAAGAAGTCTTGGATAGAGAAATGTTTTCATTTCCCTAATATGAGCGGTACATTCGCCTCTTTTTGCTGCTGTTTGTTTTCTTTTCTTCTCTAAGTATTTTAACTATTGTAGAAGCCAAGGGGAAATGTTCCCAGCAAATCAGGTACTAAAAAACCCATCTTTGTATATGTATGCACAGTGAAAAAAAGATGGTATTGAGGAAGATGTGAACTGTGGTTTTTTCTAAATGATGATCTGTGGTAGTGGATGTATAATTTGTGTTGTCCAAATGCTTCTTGGTGAGATGTTACCTCTCATCTCACAGAACGTGAAGACAGGGTCTAACTCGAAACTAAAGATGGCACCAGAGCCATGAGCTCAGATGAGTGACCTGTATATGATATGCTGTTAGGAGGGACTAGACCGACTTGCACTATTTAGAGATGTGCTAGGTCTACAATTTATACAATTTGCGATTAACACTTTTGCAGAGGCCAAGTTCCAAAGGGGTGGGATTTTGTAATGCTCAATGCGAAGAGAGCTCTGGTGGTTTCATGGCAAACTGTGCTGCAATCCTGAAGTTACGAGGTTTGAATCCACCAGCTGCTCCAAGGAAGAAGGATGGGCAGTCTCCTCATGTGTGATAAACTGCTTCTGAAAACCTGCTGGAGGGTCAGCTATGGGTTGGCTCCGACTCAACAGCACACAGCAACCGTAATAGAAAGAAGGCAAAGTTAAGCAGGAAGCAATGAGGTTTATACCTTATGTGAACAACCAAGAAGAATGCAGTTAGTATGTGTGATATTACTGTTTTGAGGTGGATTTATCAACAACTTAAAAACCCAAGACCCACAGAATCATTTGGCTCCGTATTATCTGTACCAACAGTTAAAGCTGTACTGATCTGGTAAACTACATACAAGCCCCCCTCTCTCTCGGAATAGAAAATAATGATGAATCTTATGAGGTGATTGACATTAAGAGGCTGGTGGGGGAGATGGAGAGAGGCCCTCCAGGAGTTGAGTGCTGGACTCAGAGCTCAGGGATGAGGTCAGGCCCTGTCAGACTTGACCAACTGGGAGCCGAGGAAGGACACGGCCAATGGTCAGCTGAAGCGAGCGCCCAGGGAGCAGGAAGAAGGAATGATTCCCAATGAGACGTGAAGGTGGAGGGACCTCTCAGAAGGGTACCAGTCATGTTAAGTACCATCAGATTGGAACTGACTCGTAGCTGACCCTCCTGTGGGTTTTCAGAAGCTGTAAATCACATGAGAAGAGATTGCCCATCTTTCTCCTGCAGAACAGCAGGCAGATTTGAGTCACGTGCCTTTAGGTTGGCACTGCAGCTCCTTCCCACTAAGCCAGCAGACACTGGGGAAAATCCTGGGTCTACTAGCCATGTACTGGCCGCCCTGGACTGCCAGATTCACAGACTGGCCAAGGACTGCAACAAGGCAGACTCCAGATTTTAAGCTAACATAGGACTAAGAAGTGATTATGAACCTTAAAAAAATGTGATGTTAATTTTTTTTATTTGCATAGTTGTTTTTGTTTTTAGGTGCCATAGACTCAAGTATGACCCATAGTGAACCTGTGAACAACAGATCTAAACCCTGTCCTCCCCTGTGCCATCTTTACACTTTCTGACATACTAGAGCCCATTGCAATAGTCACCGTATCAATCTGCCTGGCCTAGGGTCTTCCTCTCCTTTGACAACCCTCTACCCTTCCAAGCATCAATCCCCCTTACAAGGAACACCACTTCTTAGCAAGAAATATCTGTTTTTTTGCCTGTCCGTGCGATGTTCACTGCTCCAATACCACAGCTCAAAGGCATCAATTCTTCCATCATCCCTATTCATTGCCCAGCTCTCAGATGTATAGCAAGTAATCAGAAAGCCTGAATAAGATGCACTTTAGTCCTCAAACTGCCATCATTACTCCTCAATAATTTGGAGAGGTCCCTAACTGCTGATTTTCCCAGTGCAATGCATCTCCTTATTTCTTTCAACAAATACCTCCTTGTCCTCATAAGGCCAAAATTTGGGAGTTAATGGTTTGAGTTGGTAAAAACAATTTCTTTTTATAGTCACAGGGTTACAGAAAACAACTTGAGTCTTGTGTTCCTAAGCCTCTATTCAGGGCTGTCACTGGGCAACTGTGTCAAACTCATCCCAGGCTTAGATTGCAGCCCAGAGTGTTTGGGAGGGAGTAGTCTTGCATATTCTTAGAGGGGTCAGGTTACACAAATCCCTCACAAACACTTTCCCTGGTGATATTGAGGCCCCTCCTCAGAGCGAGCCCTCCTTACCCCACAGTCAAGTGGTGCTCACGTTAGCCCACCGCTGCTTTTTTCTGGTAGCAGGTCACATTGAGGGTCTAAGATCTGAGCACTCAGTGTCTACAGCTTTTGATCTCAGTAGAAAGAGCTCGTTGGATAGAGACTCATAGACACGTCATGGTTCCTATAGAGTCGATTTCAGCTCATAGTGACCTAGTATATTGGGCTTGCCAGACTGGTGTTGTTGTTATGTGCCGTCGAGTCGTTTGCGACTCATAGCGACCCTGTGTACAACAGCCCTAAACCCTGCTCTATCCTGTGCCAATCACACTGTCTCTGACACACCCATCCCGATTACCCCAGTCACTGAATCAATCCACCTCATAGAGGGTCTTCCCCTCTTGCGCCGACCCTCCACCCTCCCAAGCATGATATGTCAGATGAAGCTCCCAGAATCCTTGCCTCCAAGGAGTAGCTTGGTTTAACCCTCTCCAGGATGAATCTGTTTGTTTTCTTGGCAGTCCATGGTACATTCAACACTCTTCTCCAGCACCACAGCTCAAAGGCATCAACTCTCCTTCTGTCCTCCCTAGTCATTGTCCAACTCTCTGATGCATGACAAGTGACTGCAAAGACCATGGCCTGTATCAGGCGCACCTTAGTCTCCAGAGAGACACTGTTGCTCTTGAGTACTTTAAAGAGGTCCCTAACAGCAGACTGTTATTGTTAGTTGCCGTCAATTTCAATACATCTCATAGCAACCCTATGGACAACAGAGTTGAACGCTGTTTTATCCTGTGCCGTCCTCATTATCTCTGATGTACGAGAGCTCACACTGTGTCAATCTATCCGTTGAGGGTCTTAACTTTCTTTCCCTGACCCTCCACCTCTCTAAGGAATAGCTTCTCCTAGTAACATGCCCAAAGTATGAGAGATGAAACTTCACCATCTTTGCCTCCAAGAAGCACGCTGGCTGCCCGCTTTCCAAGACAAAACTGTTCTTTTGGCAGCCCATGGGATGGACATTCAGTACTCTTCTCCAATACTACAACTCAAAGGCATCGGTCCTTCTGTCATCCTTACTGCCACACCCTCAGTGCTGTTGTGTATCATTGAGTAAAAATCCACTAGAGTTTCCCCTCCAGCAGGTTTTCAGGGACAGTAAATTGCACGGGAGGAGATTGCCCATCCTTCTCCCGCGTATGTTGTTGTTAGGTCCCCTCAAAGGGCGCATGACTCATGGCGACACTGTGAACAGCAGATCTGAATCCTGTCCTATCCAGTGCCATCCCCATCATCTCAAACTTACTTCAGCCCATTGCTACGATCACTGTGAATCCATGTCGTTGAGGGTCTTCCTCTCTTTTACTGACCCTCCACCTTTTCAAGCATGGTGTCTGTCTCCAAGGAATAGTTTAGGCTGCCTTGCTCTAAAATATCTGAATCTCACTATTTTGCTTTCTCAAAATGTTTTGGGTACCAAGGAAAGACCATTTCTGGACTCCAGAGTCTGAAACCTAGAAGACCTTCTCTCAGGTGACTTCTGTGATCCTTCTATTTCACCCCAGCTTCTGGAACCCAGACTATGTTTTCTTACTATTTCTCTTGAGTTGACTCCTCTGTCAAACACAGGCCAGTGTCACTGACCCACTAGACCACGATAGATGGAGAAAAGATGGGAATTGTCAGTGATTTCATCTTATTTGGGTCGCACCCTTTGTACCAGCAGTCAAGGAATCAAAAGATGTGTTACACTGGGAAAATGTCAAGGATCTCCCCAGAGTGCTAAAGAGTAATGATATCACCTTAGAGACTAGAGTGTGGCTGATCCAAGTCATGGTCTTTTGGGGGGCTTAGGGGAGTGATGGTCT